AAAGATACAAGAAACCAAAAGATGCTGGGAAGGAGATATTCAAACAGCCCGTGGGAAAAATAAAGATTGGAAAGTATAGAGACAGAGGCCTAGAGGGGGGGAGAAGCCAAGAAATGAGACGACACGCAGGCAGGCAGAGGAGAAGGAGAGAGGAGAAGGGGGCGGCAGACACCTGGACAGGAGAAAGGAGCTTCCGCAAAAGGGAGGACAGAGGAGGCCAGGAGGGCGGAGGAGGCTGTGAGGACAGGAAGCGGGGGGCAGAGCCCAGGGTGGGGCCACCCCGGCCCCTGGGGGGGGGGCTCTCTTTCCTTTTTGGAAAGGAACAAAGAAAGCAGAGAAATGCACGGAGCACAGACCACAGTCACCAACCCCTGTTGACCAAGCACGTCCCGCGAGCGGCCCCCGGCCCTGACCCTGGGCTGGGGTGCGCCTCCCTCCGCGGCCCCCTCCCCGAATGACAGACAATCGGCTCCAAAGACAACACGCTCGTTCCATGCAACTTACAGGGGCCCGGAGCAGGGGTCCGGGCATGGGGGCTTCGGCCGACAATGGACACGGGCCCTGGGCTGGGGGGGCCCCCAGGGTGGGGGGAGTTAAGCAGCCAGGATTGGGGGGAAAGGGGGAGAAACAGAAAATGTGGGTACTGTTCCTGGGTTGTGTTTCTCAGGGGTTTGGCCCACAGGAGATTAAACCACACAGAAGTAACCAAAGCTCACACTTCTGTGGCCACGCAGTTGGGGTGGTGACAGGCAGTGGGGTGGAGAGGGCCTGACGAGTGAAATTCACAGACAGTCTGTCATCTCAGCCTCCTCCACCTAAACCAAAGCTCCTCCCGAGAGGCCTGAAGACTGGATTCCCCCCAGTCCGTTCTGTGCGCTCTCTACCGAGCCATGGGCCTACTGCTAAATAAGGAAAGTCACCCAAAGTCCAAGGCAAGAGGGACCTGATGTCCTCACTTTCCAGGAGAACAGAGTCCAGGAGCCAGTGATTCTAAGGACCCTCCAGTACCCTGAACCAGCCCCCTTGATCCCCAAATCCTGCTCCCCTGATTTCACTCCAACCCAAAGGAAAACTAGAAAGAGAGAGACACGCAGACACACGGACACTGACCAGACACACAAGACCAGATAACTGGGGGCGGGGGTGGCTCTGGGGAACAAACACAGATATGTATAGACTTAGCTCCTTCTGGGGCCGGGATGTGTGTGAGAGCGCGTGCGCGTGCGTGTGCGTGTGTATGTGCGTGCGTGCGTGCGTGCGTGTGTGACTGACTGAAAACCAGCACCAGACCCCTGAGGGTGGTGAGGATGGGGTGTGCGGGGACAAAGGGCAGTGCTGGAGAGGGCACAGGGCAGGAGCAGGACCCACCTGGGGCCTCAGTAGGGCCGGTTGGCGTCCTTAGGCCTCTTCAGCTGAACTTTGAGGCGCTTCATGCCGATCTGGAAGCCGTTCATGGCCTGGATGGCAGCCTGGGCACTGGCCGGATTGTCGAAACTCACAAAACCTGCGGGGAGAGAGGCATAAGGCCCGGAGCTGGGGCCCGCTCTGGGGTTCCCTAGCACCACCCCACTTCCTCTAGGTACCCCAAGTGCCAGGAAAGCTCCCTGGCATGTGGGCGTTCAGTAAGTGTTGACTGACTGACTGACTGACTGACTGACTGAAGGAGTCCGGTCCAGCCACTCACACAAACGAGCACTTTCTTTCCAGCATGCTTTGCAGGGCATCCGCTTTCTCAGCCAAGGACCTGCCTTTTAAAAACTTCCACTTCTAGGCCCTAGATGACTTCTGAAGCAGCGAGGACAAGAACGTTGCCTTTCTCCCCCGAAGGAGGAGCCCTTCAAAGACGTGAAGGCAACTAAACCATACTCCCTAAGCCTTCCTTTCGAGAGGCAACCCCCCTGCCCCCCAGTCCCCAAGCCTGTTTCCAGAGTTCATGGAGCAAGAGCATGGGAGATCTTAAGTTTGACCAGTCCTTGAGGAGAAAAGACAGAGCTGTGGTTTTCTAGATGGGGAGATGGACTTGGGCAGCACCGGATGGGGGACGTTGAATGTGTCAAAATGGCGCGTTCATATTCTTAGACAATCTGGATTTCAAGTACTGGGCCCACTGCAACCCTAAGTCCCTTCAAACATATCAGACCATGTTCTCATTCAGAGTCTGGCAAGACTGCCAAATTTTGTCTTTTGGATCATCATATTCTTACCAAAACACTTGCTCTGATTGGTGGCGCGGTCAACAAAGACTTTGGCTGAGATGACATGGCCAAAGGGGACAAACATCTGGAGGATCTCTGAGTCGGTGAACTCCTGGGGCAGGTGGTAGATGAAGATGTTGCAGCCGTCAGGGCCTGGGCAGCGGTTGAGAGAGAGGTTAAGACATGGGTGATGGGGACATGCAGGCTCAAGGAGCGAGGGTCCCAGGAAAAGCAGATCCTGAGATGACTTCTCATCCCAGCCCCCAACGGTATGGGCCATGGTTCCAGCCACCTCATCCCTACTCGCTTTCATCCCCAAACGTGTGACAAAAGTGGAGCTTGGAGCAGGGCAGTAGGGAGGGAGACCCCTGGAACCCCAAGAAGGGCCTTCCCATCCCTGGAGGCCCTCAGCTGGGAGGCCACTGCCCAGACCTTCTCGTTGTTGTTGTTGCTGCTGCTGCTGCTGCTGCTGCTGTTGAGGAGGTGACGTGGGCTGCTGGGCGACCAGGGCAGGAGGCTGCGGGAACGCAGGCGCAACCAGGCTGTAGGCTGCTGGGTAGGCTGCTGGGGTGGGAGATCAGAGAGAGCCGATGGGGCTTCCAAGCTTCCCCGGACCCCGGGGCCTGCCCAACAAACCCTGGCTGCCCCCTTCCTCTAGCCCAGGCCAGTGGGGTCTACAGGGCTGAGAGGTTGACCTCCTGCCCCTAACCAGCCATCCTCACAGGTGCAATTGGTCAGGAAAGCCTCGAGGTGGAGGTTGGCAGGGAGCCGAGAAGTCTATCCCCAGTTTCTGGGCCTCTCTTCCTCTCGACGTCCCTCCTTGCCCGCTCCTCCCACCCGTGGGGGGCTGGGGGCCTCACCTGTATAGTGCTGCATCCCCGCATATGCCTGTTGGAGGGGGTCCACGGGGGCCGCGGGGCTCTGGGCTGGGGAGAGCAACACGGACAGTGGGAGAGGGGCTGGCAGCCAGCCCGGAGCCCCAGTAACCCTCTGGGAGCAGAGGCGGGAGGAGAGCCACACGGGGGCACAGGTTGTGAAGGGAGAGTGGCGATGCACGGAGCAGGGGGAGGGCAGCGTTTGGAGAGTAAGTCCCAGCTGTGCAACCCTGGACAAGTCACTTCACCTAAGCCTCAGATTCCTTGACCGGAAGCAGGAAGGGGCACCCCCGCCCAGGACGAGGGGGCAGGAGAAAGTGCTTTATAACCCTGGAGCCCTGGAAAGGCAGGGTGTCTTGGCTGCTGCCGAAGGCAATGGGAATGGTGGTTTGTGTGGTTGCTGGGGAAGGGTGGGCCGCAGAGAACCCCACCTGGGTAGGGGTGAACCCCATTGGGATACAGAGCATCAGGGGCAGGCTGCCCTGTGGGCTGGGTGGGCACCGGGCTGTAGCCGTTGATGCCCAGGACAGCAGGAATGGCAGAGACGGGCGTGGCAGCGATGGCAGGAGGGGTGCTGGTTCCTGGGGAGGAGAAAGCGACAGAGCAGAAAGAAGCACACATATACACAGATGCAGAGAGAACGAGTCAGCAAGTCTGGGGCAGAGGGGAGGAAGCAGGCCGCTCTGACCCTCAAGCCCCTCCTGTACCACAGGGCTTCCCCAAGCAGTGCCCTGAGCCCCCTCTTTACCCTCACTAGGCTGTAACTCCCCTGCCCTGCCCTAGTCACACCCAGCCTAGCCCTGCACTGCTCTGCCCAGCCCAGCCCTGCCCTGCTCTGCCCTG